ACAAATATATTGTGGACAAGTATTGACATACAAAATAGGCGAATGTTCTCACAAGAGGTTATCACCAGAACGGCACCTGACCGGTGAAGTGAAAGTGAAACCACAGACTAAAAACTGAAAAAAGCCGACTCGGCTGCTTCGTGAACATTATGTTATTGACCACGAATAATGCTTTAGGTATTGTTTTTTTTCTATTTCAGGTGTGGGAATATAATATTAGAATAACACACATACCTCAAACAGTTCGTTTAATTCATGTTGTGTGAAATCGATGCTTAACAAAATTTCTATCGACAGCACTCGAGTGTTTACCAATGGCGAATAGACGGTACGAGTTATCGGCCTTGATATTGTATGACACCCGGTGAGGGCACTGCGAAATCGGTAACATATTTTCCCGCCACTGGGAGTCGGCGGTCCCTTTACTTTAGGTCTCTGAAATATATCTTATACCCGATAAAAAAATGTATAATACTATAAATGTAGGTATCATAAGTAATATCGACATACATGTATATATATAATTTAGTCCGATTCTGCCCTGATCATGTAATTGCAATCCTTTTATCAAATATATCTTATACCCAATAATGATACTTAAATGTATCTAATATGTATATATATATATTCATTAATGTATATAATAATTAATAGATTTCTGCCCGTTCCTGCCCGTTTCTGTCCGTTCCTGTCCGTTCATGTAAATCGTCTAACCGGATGACCATCCTATTAGACTAACAGAAGAATAATGTTACTTTTTATTACATTCGCACATAATATAAATATATATCTTTAGTCCGATTCTGCTCCGATCATGTAATTGCAATTCTTTTATCAAATATACCTTATACCCGATAAGGATAATCAAATATATATAAATAAGTTCGATCCTGTCCCGTTTCTGTCCGTTCCTGTAAATCGTCGCCCGTTTCTGTCCGTTCCTGTAAATCGTCGCTCGTTCCTGCCCGACCCATATCAAAACAATACTCTTATTTCGTTGCAATCTTTTTATCAAATATATCTTATACCTGATAAAAAATATATAATAATATAAATATAGGTATCATAAGCAGGGACGTATAGTGAAGGGGATTAGCAACTCCCTCTCTGCCTTACCAATTTTATGACACGTCAATCTAGACTTACCTCCCCCTGATTCCGGAGCAGCTGGCGAGCGCCACCTATCTCAATTTTGACAAAGCAAGATGGCGTCGATACCGCCTCGTTAGATGCAGAAGTTGGTGTGAAAACAAACCAATCTCGATAAGTGTTCTTACGTCTTTTGTTTATCCCATTGTTATAAGCTGATTGTATTACTTTTAATTGATAAAATCTGTGGTATCATAGTAATTGATGTCTCGTTTTTGGAGTATATTTTTCTATTTTAAAACGCGATGTAACGCGTGGTTCAGAGTATTGTGGTGGGCGTCGACAGACAAAAATGCGGGATAAAACAAAACCCACATATATCTGAACCACCTCACTCCAAAAGTATTTGACCGATCTTTTTTAAATTAGCAGCAATAGAAAGCTGAATAAATTTTATAACGACCCAACCCATTTTAATTGCAAATAACATAATTTAACTTGTGTTATTTTTGTGTCAAAAAGACTAAATATCAGCATTATTTTTCACTGGAACGTAAATCATTATTGCGAAAGTAGTTGGTGACTGCTCACTGTTTTGATTAAATTTTATAAACTATCGATTATATTTTTTAAAACAATTAATATCAATAAACAGCCGAGTAATTTCTATGTTAAGTAGGCCTGATTTGATTTGCATTACTTGGAACGATAGCGATGTCACAGATGAAATTACTCGTCTGGTAACGAAGGACACGTGTTGTTAAAAACCGTAAACAAAAATGCGGGATAAAAAAACCCACTTGTATGTGAACCACCTCACTCCAAAAGTATTTGACCGATCTTTTTTTAATTAGCAGCAATAGAAAGCTGAATAACTTTTATAACGACCCAACCCATTTTAATTGCAAATAATATAATTTAACTTGTGTTATTTTTGTGTCGAAAAGTGTAAATATCAGCAATATTTTTCACTGGAACGTAAATCATGGCGAAAGTAGTTGGTAACTGCTCACTGTTTTGATTAATTTTATAAACTATCGTTTGTATTTTTTAAATCAATTAATATCAATAAACAGCCGAGTAATTTCTATGTTAAGTAGGCCTGATTTGGTTTGCATTATTTGGAACGATAGCGATGTCACGGATGAAAATACTCGTCTGATAACAAAGGACACGTGTTGTTCAAAACCGTAAACAACCGGAAATGTTAAACGCAACAAAAAAGTATCGCCTGCATTCGAGGATCAGGTCATTTAAAAAATACTTCTTTTTGAAATTTACAGCGATAGAAAGTTGAATAATTTTTTGATATGTAGTACTAATTTTTATGGCAAAAAAACCCAAATAACTTGTGCTGTTTTTGTGTCAAAAAGTGTCAATATTAGCATTATTTTCACTGGAACGTACTTTACGAAATGTGATTTGTTGTAACAGCCATCAACACAGCCGAAAGGCTATCCATAGTGGCAACGATAGCCCTGTCCCTGGAATAAAAAGAAGACCTACTAATACACAGTCCCAATTAGGGCTAACCGTTATCAAAACACTTCGATCTCGGCGAGATTGTTGACATGACACCGAAAGCAGGTGCGTGCTTAATTTTAACGCTAGTGCGCAAGCGCGGGCTGATCGAGAGGGGGCTCTCGATGACTTCGCGGTTCGGTGAACAAACACAAAAGCGACGTGCTATAGAATCTTGACTGGGGCAGAGTTGCCAATCCCCTCTATATACTGTCCCTGTCATAAGTAATGACGGCATAAATATATATATATATTTTAGTCCGATTATGCTCCGATCATGTAATTGCAATTCTTTTATCAAATATACCTTATACCCGATAAGGATAATTAAATATATACAATAAATATATATAAATAAGTCCGATCCTGCCCCGTTTCTGTCCGTTCCTGTAAATCGTCGCCCGTTCCTGCCCGATCCATATCAATACAATACTCTTAATTCCTTGCAATTCTTTTATCAAATATATCTTATACCCGATAGTTTTTTTTGTATAATACTATAAATGTACGTAGGTATCATACGTAATATCGACATACATGTATATATATAATTTAGTCCGATTCTGCCCTGATCATGTAATTGCAATCCTTTTATCAAATATATCTTATACCCAATAATGATACTTAAATGTATCTAATATGTATATATATATATATTCATTAATGTATATAATAATTAATAGATTTCTGCCCGTTCCTGCCCGTTTCTGTCCGTTCCTGTCCGTTCATGTAAATTGTCTAACCGGATGACCATCCTATTAGACTAACAGAAGAATAATGTTACTTTTTATTATATTCGCCCATAAACCTATGTCAATTGCTTTACGGAAATCAACACATGAACAGATTTTTGTTTATCGAGTGAAAATAAACGGATAAGTGCATGCAAGATACTTTCTGTTGTAGAAAAACCTATCCTATTTCTAAATTCAGCTAAATAACAGTGTTGAGTGCTTTTTAAGTATTCGTTTATGATGCCATCAATATCCGGTGCTTTGTTATTACTAAGATTACAAATGTATTATGTATACTACTGTTTGTATTTAGTACTAATCACGACAAAGCAATACGAATGCGCCAATACATTCGCGTCCTTCCGGCACTGGCAAGTACGAGTACAGTCTGGGATGTAAGCTGACAGGTCCTGATGTGTAAACCCAGCGACGCCGACATTTTCTTAGTCTGTACGTGTGATTCAAACATTATTTCTAAAGTCATCCTTCATCACGTGCAAATATATATAAGGTAAGTAATTACCCAACAGGCACATGTACGTTGAATAATTTCAACGTATTTTTTGTGTCATAGATGATTGGTAAAAATGTATTCACAGTATAATTTTTGCATCAATGATGCCATTTTCTCACATACTTCACAGGGTGATCCCGTTGTTGCTAGAGAAAAGATTAATAGAATCTTTCATGGGTCTGTTCCGTGGACAGGGATATCTCAACCCTCGTAAGAGTTTGGCTGGTCAGCACGAGGCTTGCCAGCCAAACTCTTACACGAGGGTTGAGATATCCCTGTCTATGGAACAGACCCATGGTTTTTTTCTCACATACATACAAATATTATAAACAAATTCCAGTCGGAATAAAAAAGGGTTGAGACGGACGATTCCCCATTCACAACAATTGTATGACATCACAGAAACAATTACATCATTACATCGTGTAGACAACGACCTGAACCTATGTAAACATATGTTATCCTACAAGGAAGAGAGCCTTTGTATTCTCAGTTATTAAGTATGTCGTCTGAAATAAGTGATAACCTTTAAGAAGTGTCATATATCAAAGAATCTTTCTCAATTATTCTCTCTTGGTACCTTGGCTGCAAAGCTTGGACAGGTTGGTCCAAAGAACTGTTTCTCAAAATCTCTTTGTACTTGGTCCCATTTCTTTCTTCTTCAGTATTATTGATGAAAACTGATATCTCTTGGAATCAGCTCTTTTTGGCATTTTCCAGCCTAGTATTTCAAAAACCTTTCATTCTGTAGTACAAGATTTGAATAAATCTATAGTTCCTTGTTCCTTGGTCCTGACCATTTGAGTAGGGAACAGATACTTTCACACAGTACTGTATTCGCAGAAACATTCTTTAGAGACAGAGTGACTGCCATACATGATATATTTATATTAAAAAAAGTGCTGACCATAAGCTTCAGAAAATGTCTTATTGTAGCCAGAAGAAGTATTATTATCTTAAATTTATTAGCTTAGCTCTACCTGACGGCAACATTTTGGACACAGAACGACCATTCTCTGGAAGCGAAAGTGATGCAATCATTACAAGATGGACATTACAGGGTTTGACACTAACTCATTTTGCTTGGTAGCTAGTCCACAGGACTAGTTGAGTAGATTATTTACTAGTCCTTTGTCAATGTAACTAGTCCAAGATTTCCTGATAAGGAAACATCGCGATCTACAGCATGAAACATCAAAAGTAATCGACTTAGATAATTACTGCCATGAAAATATTGTGAAGTTTTTGGAAAATTTGGAATTTTTTTATGCAAAAAATCTTATTTTAAGCAGTTTCCTAAATTTTAAAAAGGTGTATTCTTATAGTCCTTGCTGAAATCTACCAGTCCAGGACTAGTGTCAGTGTCGACCCTTGGACAAGCTCACTAGATTGGAACAAGATGACTACAACAATCATGAATGTAGTCGTTGTTTGTGGTTTTAGAGATGTCCTGCCAATGTTGGAGACATCTGGTATTAATACCAATATGCCCTCATATCTTAAGACTGGTCAGAGCCAACACTCTGATGTACAGGCTAACATTGACAGGACAGTTATTAAATCCTGATGGATTGTAGAGTCTTATCATGGCCGTCTTTAAGCATTGGACATTGTTTAGAACTCAACTAATTTCAAATTGCTTCATTGATATAATTAAGGCAGTGCTAAATATTGTGACTGCAAATATATCTCAATGGGATATGGGGACCAATTTATCAAAGATTACCAGAAACTGACAGTAAAGACAGAGAAGTCGCACAACAAATGAATTTTTGAATTACCAAAACAGACTGTTTAGCTCAGAGGGTGAAAACAGAACCACTCTCTACAAGAGAGCTAAAACTACTTGGAATCGTGTATTTTATATATATAAAAAGTGAAAGATTTGTCCGTATATAAGATTTAATCTTTTCTGAAAGTTATTGTTGTGAAAACAACATCCTTATATTCCAATAACCTGTACATGTTCTGCCCATGCCAGGTGTTAATTATCTCCCCTATTGAGGTGTCAATCAACGCTAGGCCTAATTAAAGATTTCTGGACTGTCGGTGATATTCAATGTACAGTACATAAGTTAGCTGCCAATCGACTAGTTAATCCCTAATGCTTGCACCAGGGAGTACATTTCATTGACTCTACTCGATTTGGTGTTATTCATTACACATTTTCAATGATATTAGGACATGTTTTGTTAGATCAAATGATGCTCTGTAAGATTAGTAGTGGCTCTGTCCTATTACCAGTGGTTATGTTGTATTACATGTGGTTCATGTGTATTAACAGAAACTCGCGTTGAGATTAAATGAAATCGGTAGATCTTGTTTATCTGTGGGCACCAAGCCAAATTTTAGCAAGCAGCCGATCTCGATCTCGATCGCTCGCGGGCACTCGCTCGCGGGCACGTTTCACGCTGTGACGGTCGCGAGCCCAACGTAACTTGGTTAAAATCAGGGTACCTGTTAATAAACTTGTGAAATTTCACACTGTCAGTGTTGAAAGTATGTTTGAATAAGTGCCAAGAGATAAAAAAAAAAATCCTGTATAAATTATTGCCAAAATCGGCAAGTTTTTCACTCCAAATTTGTGATTGAAGCGAGGCGTTGAAATTAATCACAGAGTGTCCTGTTATCACGAAGAGATTAATACTCTGTAAAGAAAAGATATCAATGCACGTACCGATAATGGAATACTCGCACAGAATGATGAAAAATATGACATTGAAGGAAGTCGTTTATCAAGGTAGATCCGCCGGCTTTACATGGTATCATAAGCCCTCCATGCAGTCATGTGTGATGGGGATAAACTTTGGACAGAGAAATACGGTATATAACTACTGCCATGTATATATATGTCTGCTGTGAACGATGTTCCTGTCTACAGTACCACAGATATACAGTTGCAATCGGCACACCGAATAAAAAGCGCTACTCGAATTTCCCGAATTGAAAAGAAATAACGCCAGCAAATATGTTACTTTGTGTAATTCCGAGAGAAAACGGGTTGAAGTGGATATTTAAAAAGAAACGAGTCGCACAAGATCTATTAAAAGATCCCATTAATGCTTAAAATAAAATAGCATTGCCTTGTAGAACGTGATTATCATTTCGTCTTTGCCCAATATTGGGGCAAAATTTATGTGCATATGTTGGTCAATATTTCACTAGATTACACGATTTCCCCTTTAAAAATCAAGATCATAATTGAAATGTACCGGTACGTTATTTCACACATCATTATGAGTTTCTCCGTTAAGTAAACATTGTATAAAAAATTACCACAGTTTACTGATCAACATTAGTTCTAGCCGACTGTCTCTGCATTGTGAAATAACTAGAATGATTGGTTAGTCTGAGACGTCAATCACACCTCTGCACAGTAGCCATCGTGTCATAATGGGCGGAGCTTACGCAATATACCGCATCATGCGACTGATTGGATGATGTGTGTCGTGAAGGTGCCTACCAGTCAATTCACCAAATTTTTGTGATTTCATTATGTGTTCATAAAAATGAAAAATAAAAAAGACGGTTGTATATAATAATGACCAGAATGAAAATATTGGTCATTACACTTATATAAAGGATAAAGATGATAATCCTACCTGTAGCTGCGGGAACCATAGCTTCTAGGCCCGATAGTTTTATTAGCTCACCTGTCCGAAGGGCAAGTGAGCTTATGTCATGGTGCGGCGTCCGTCGTCCGTCCTCGTCCGTCAACTTTTCCTTTAAACAACTTCTTCTGAAGAACGGACAGGCCTAGAGTCATGATATTTGACTGAAAGCTTTGTTGGTAGGAGCCCGACAAAGTTTGAGAATGAAAATAACCTTGACCTACTTTCAAGGTCACAGCGTTCAAATATGTCAAACAGTTCAAACAGCTTCTTCTGAAGAATTAAAAGGCATAAAATTATAATATTTGGCTGGTGACTTCCCGGGGTAGAGCTCACCAAAGTTTGCAAATGAAAATGACCTCAACCTACTTTGGAGGTCACAGAGGTCAACAACATTTTAATGGATTTGTTCTTGAGAACTAAAAGGAATGGATTCATAAGATTTGGCTGGTAGCTTTTTGGAATAGAGCTAACCAATTTGAGAAGGAAAATGACATTGACCTACTTACAAGATCGCAGGGAAAAATATGTCAAGCAACTTCTGAAGAAGAATCAAAAAGCATACAATCTTATAATAATATTTTGCTGGTAGTTTCAACAGATGGAGCCAACAAAGTTTGCGAGGGAAATATTTTTAGTGCAATATAATATTTAATGAGAATATCTTGCTATGACTGCTTAAATATTCAGGTGAGCGATACAGGCCCTCTTGGGCGTCTTGTTTCCTGGGAAAGAGCCAAACAAAGTCTGTGAATGCAAATGACCTTGACTTACTTTCAAGGTTACAGCGTTCAAATATGTCAAACAGTTCAAACTACTTCTGAAGAATTAAAATTCATAAAATTATAATATTTGGCCGGTGACTTCCTGGGATAGAGCTCAACAAAGTTTGCGAATGAAAATGACCTCAACCAGAGGTCACAGAGGTCAACAACATTTTAAAGGATTTGTTCTCAAGAACTAAAAGGAATGGATTCATAAGATTTGGCTGGTAGCATTTTGGAATAGAGCTAACCAATTTGAGAAGGAAAATGACATTGACCTACTTACAAGGTCACAGGTAAAAATATATCAAGCAACTTCTGAAGAAGAATCAAAAAGCTTAGAATTTTATAATAATATTTTGCTGGTAGTTTCAACAGATGGAGCCAGCAAAGTTTGCGAGGGAAATATTTTTAGTGCAATATAATACTGAATGAGAATATTTTGCTATGACTGCTTAAATATTCAGGTGAGCGATACAGGCCCTCTTGGGCCTCTTGTTATTCTTTATTGTTCCGATAACAATAAAGAAACCACGATCCGGCCTAGAAGCTAGAAGCGGTTCCCGCAGCTATCCTACCTGTAACATGGACTTCGCTAATATCAAGATACCTAATCTTATTT